CTGTGACAGCACTATATCCAACTAAGCCCTCTAACCTACAAGAAGTAGAGGCAACTGTTGTATTGTGCATCCAATTCATCCAACAAAGCAATAATCTCTGTTAAAGCCACAGAAGAATATCTAGTATTCTGTATTACTGTATTCTATATTACTATATCCACATGTTTCACTTTTTAGCTTCCTTAAGGCAATGTTTCCTAGTGAATTATATAATTAATATACTTAAGTTTTACATCTTTAGAAAACACTGCCACCTTGGATTTAAGTTTCAAATCAAGTCTTATGTTAACACTAACCATTACAGAAATATCTTCTGTAGTTATACTTAAATTATTTTGACCAGTCTACGTTAAACTTAAAACACAGGCACTGTGTTCAGAAATTCTATCATATCAAAATTCTCATTGACACCACAAATAAATAGGCTTCACTGTGCAGTATTATTCATGTCTGTGCAACAGAAGACACCACAAATAAATTACCCTCTTCAAGCAACCTATCCAATAAATTCTAAGCCATATCTTCAATATGCCAAATAACAGCATTTTTTATTAGATTGGCATTTGAAACTTAAAAATACATTGCATGCCTCACTCAATAGACACTCTTTTGTAAACTCGTCATCTACAAAAAAGCTAATGCCTGGGCAATCTTTTCCCTTAATATATAACTACATAACTGCATTTTACAACAAGATTGCTTATTTTATTCATTTTCCAAATAAACCTAGTTGAAATTTCGGTCCTTTTCTTGAATTCATTGTTTTTCATTACATAGTTTTTCTGTGTACTGGCCATAGTTTCTACTACGTTTTGTTTCATAATGGGCTTTTAAGTTGTATTCATTTGACAGAAACACACTTTGTTTGCATATTTAAAACACAGGAATTTTTTTACTCCCATTTTAAAGAAATTTGTTCTTTCCCATTTTCTTGAAACACCTTCTCAGTCTAGCTTTCATTCTCCTATTTTGGATAGAGATGTGGGTACTATATTTTATTTTCTTCTTATATTTGCTATAATAACACAAAAAAGATGATAAATTACAACTTGATACACAAGATATGAGAGAAAATAAGGAATTGTGGGAACTATGACAGACTGGAGAACACATGTCCCACGTCTAAAGGTAACAACTGCTACTTAGCTCCAACTGATCATTGCTTAGTGGAAATACTGGCCAAGTGTTTCCAGATTTTTCAATTTTTTCAAGAGAAGCAAGGAAACCAGATTTTTATCTGAAAATTCCTGAATGTTAAATGTTGGCAACTAATTCAACCATATGCAACACATCTCTGGCCATACCAAGGCTCATGGTTCACTATGTGAAAACTTTCTTGTGACGAATTGCTTTAGAATGTAGTACTGGGGGGAAAGTTTGTCAGTCTTAACATACTCCTTCTAGCACAATAGTAAAAAGTGTGAGCTCTGTAGGCTGATGCCATGGCACTCTTGCCTAGGTGACAGAGCGAGACTCTGTCTCAAAAAAAAAAAAAGTGCAAGCTCTGTAATCAGGTATTAACTCCAGTTCTGCTCCTTCCTAGCTATGTGATTATGAGTAAATTACTCTTCTGCTGTAATCCTCATTTCCTCACCTGCAAAATGAGTTTAGGCAAACAAATTACCTTATAGGTATCTCATGATTTATAATGTAAAGGACTTAGAATAATGCCTAGACAAGTATCTGTAAATATTAGTTTTTATTATTCAATAATGAAAATCAAGTAAATTATCATATTATCCTTTTTCTCTGGCTGTAAGAAAGCTCACAGTTGAATTTTATACTTAATCACAGTAACCATAGTAGCTATTATGTTTGGCATGTTTTGATTTTCTATTTCAATTTTAAAATTTTTATTATGCACTTGAATATAGGAAGCCTCAAATTCTTTTTGGAAGGAAGTGGTGTATAAACAACCAAAACTTTAAAAAATAAAAGTTAAGTCCCGTGAAATTTTTGTGAACAAGATCGAGGAAATTAGGCCATATGGCTATATAATTAGGTGGATTTATAACAGGTTCAATGACTATACTCAAAAATTATCAATTAATGGGTTGATGTTAACCTGGAGATTAATCTATGCTGTCATGAGGTTTCTGGCCTCAGATTTGTTCTGTTTATTAAATTAGATCAGCAAACTATGGTCTGCAGCTCAGCTGCTTGTTTTTATGAATAAAGTTTTATTGGAAGACAGCCACACCCATTTGTTTATGATTGGCCTATGCTGCTTTTGCACTACAACAGCAAAGTTGACTAGCTGTGATAGAGACTATGTGGCCCACAAGCCTAAATAAAATATATACTATCTTGCCCTTTAAGTAAAAGTTTGCTGACCCCTGAATTAGATGAAGACAGGTGCCATACTAAATCTGAAGATGACATAAACTGGAACAGTTAATATATTGCATGATATAATCAAAATTCACAAAGACCAGAACACTGAAAAAATAGGCTATTACCATTAGGCTGAAACTTGTTTATAAAGTATGCCTAAATTGGGTATTTAACCATAAACACAGAAGAAATGGAATTCAGGTATTCAGAACAATTGATATTATAAAGATCTAGTCTTATAAGCCCAGGAAATTAACCATGTAATGTAGCTACCAGAAGAGAGCTAATTTAAATATTGCCTGCATTAAAAGAAATATAGGATCTAGAACAGTGCTGTCCAATAGAAATTTCCTGTGATAATGGAAATGTTCTCTATCTGTAATGTCCAATAAGGCAGCCATTAACTACATGTGGCTATTGAGACTTAATATGGGGCTAGTGTAACTGAGGGACTAAAGTTTTAATTTTTTTTAAATTTTTAATTAATTTAAATTTAAATAGTTACATGTGGCTAGTTCCTGCCATATTGAACAGTACAGGTTTAGAACATTTAGAACATGAAAGGTATATACTATTATTTAGATCACATCTGCAGTATTGTGTTCAGTTCCAGTTGCCATGCTTACAAGCTGGAAGTGACACCCAGGAAGTGACCATATCGTAAAAATGTTATAATGAAATGAGGAAGAGCTGTGAAGTTAAAGATTTAGATGTTACCATGCAGTAGAACACGCAGCCTTAAAAATTAGTGGAAAACATGTATCAATTCTATATAAGGAAGAATTTTCTGTTCCAGTTTTATAAAAATACAATGGGGCTTCCCTTTTCCACAGGTATTTCAGAAGAGGCTAAAATGCTTCTCATGCAAGAAATCATGGAGAATTCATTTGTCAGGTAGGAGACTAGTCTACAAAAAGGATTGACAAACAATAGCTTTCAGGCCAAATCCAACCAGCTACCTGGTTTTGCAAATTAAGTTTTATTGGAACACAGCCAATTCTTTCATTTATATATTGTCTATGGCTGCTTTCACACTACAACAGCAGAGTTGAGTAGGTATATCAGAGACCTTATGGCTTGAACAGCCTAAAATATTTACTACATGGTTCTTCACAGAAAATGCTTATTGACCTCTGGTCTAGAATAGTGGTTCTCAGAACCACCTGGATAACCAAAAAGAACACAGAGACCTGGGCTTGTTGAAGTAAAATAGAACCTGATCTCTGTATTTCTGTCTGGTTCCCCAGTGATTATTTTTTATAACAGTTTTGAGGTATAATTCACATACCATATGATTTACCCATTTAAAGTACACAATTCAATGGTTCTTAATATATTTTCAGAGTTGTGCAACCATCACTGAATCAATTTTAGAACATTTTAAACACACCAGAAATAAACCTTTTTGCATTAGCAATCACTCTCTACTTCCCCTCAAATTCTGCAGCCCTAGGCAACCATGATCTACTTTCTGTCTCTATAAATCTTACTGTTCTGGATATATCTCATAAATGGAATCTTACAACATGCAGTTTTGTGTGACTTGCTTCTTTCACTTAGCATGTTTTCAAAGTTTATCCATGTTGTAACATGTATCAGTACTGTTTATTTTCATTGATAAATAATATTCCATGGTATGGATATACCAAATTTTATCTATCCATTCATCAGTTGATAGACATATGGGTTGTTTACACTTTTTGGCTATTATAAACAATGCTGCTATGAATGTTTAAGTACAAGTGTTTATGTGGAAGTATGCTTTCAATTCATTTGGGTTTAAACCTAGGAGTAGAATTGCAGGGTCATATGGTAACTCTATATTTAATTTATTAAGGAACTAACAAATGTTTTCCAAAGCAGCTGCACCATTTTACATTCCTACCAGCAGTGTATGAGGGTTACAATTTCTCCACATCCTTGTCAATATCTGTTATTATCTGCCTTTTTTATTATAATCATCCTAGTGGGTGTAAAGTGGTTTCTCATTGTGTTTTCTTTCTTTATTTCAGGAAATTATGGGGGTACAAACATTTTGGTTCCATGTTATGACTTTGCCACATCCCAGCCATGATTTGAGACGTGCCCTTTCCCCTCCTACAATGCTTACCACTCCATTAGTTGTGAGTTTACCCCCGCCCCAGGGACAAAAGTCATTGTGGTTTTGATTTGCATTTCCCCAATGGCTAATGATGTTGAGCATCTTTTCAAGTACTTATTCCCCAGTCATTCTAATGACACCAAAGTTTGAGAATCACTAAGAGGTGTGTAAAAACTGCAAGATCCCTTTTGACCTTAATGATCCCATGAAAAATAAAGCCAGAAAGGCTATTAATTACAGAACTGCACCTGTTTATGCCTTCCTATTCTACATGACTCTGGCTTACAGGTTAATTCTAGCCTAACTCCTATTTTATAAAACCCCATTTTATTCTTTTTTCATTTATTTCCCTTTTTAAAAATTTAATATCAATTTTAAAATTACCTTTACTATTATTTAAGTCATTAAGTAAACAGTTGTAGCTTCTAAATTGATCAGCACAATGGCAAACATTGTGCTGTCAGAACATGAGCGTGTATGTGTGCGTGTGTGTATTCAATATGTGTTAATGGAAACCTTAGAAAAATGTTAGTCTTTAGAGAAAGGGAAATCAATTCTTCTGTACCTTTCATGATCCATCAGCAGTGTAGCAATATTCAGACAGAAATCTAAAGACATGTCAAAATGTAGTATTTCCATAACAGCTAAAAAAATGAAAAAATGAAGTAATCATATCAGTTTCATTTTGAGGAAGCTAAGCTATTTTCAATAACTTTCCTCCATTCAAAATCTCCTTACTAAATGTTTGCCATATACTATGTTTGCCTAACAATTTATCAAGATCTTTTTAAAAGTACTAACATCCAATGCTAGAGAGATAGGCGGCACTTTCAAATGGATGGCAAAGTAGCCTGGTGCAATCCTTTTGAAAAGCAATTTGGTCATACTATGTTAAGAACATTGTGGTTAAGAGCTTGGGATCTAAAGTCAGATCTAAATTTCAAACCACTTGCCACCTGTATGGCCATAGGCAAGTTAATTTTTCTGCACCTTAGTTTTGTCATCTGTAAAATGGAACATACCACCAATCTCTCAGGTTTGTTGAGAGGATTACATGAGATAACATATGGAAAGTACACAGCTAAGCACCTGGCATTTAGTAAGCATTTACTAAATGGCAGCTGCTATTATTATTATTCACTTTACTTCAGAAATTTTACTTCTGAAAAGTCATCTGAAATACATATGAGAAAAGGTTTATGAACAAAGATATTAAAAGCAGTATAGATTATAATAGCAATAGAAAAGAAATATATCCTGAATGTCTAATATAGGGCAGAAACAAACTATTATGCAACCATTCAAATTGTTTAGTATGAAATAATATGGAAAAAATGAATATGCAAAAATATGAAAAATATTTACAAGGTTGGTAAGTGCAAAATTAAAAAACAAGGTTAGATGTACTATATGGTCACCTATATGGTCACAATTCTGTAATATAAGCAAAATAAATTAAGATAAAAATACTGAAAGTAAATAATCAAATCTGTAAAAGTGATTGTGTTTAGATTCAATTATTTATTCAACAAATATTTAATGAATATATTCTCTGTACCAGGCACTGTGTTTAGCTCTGGGAACCCAGCAATAAACAAAACACACAAAAATTCCAACTGTCAAGGAGTTTACATTCTAGTGGATGGTGGGACTATGGGTATTTTTAGTATTTTACAAAAATGTCTTTAATGAATATGTGCTACCCTTTCACAATGAAAACTTTGCATATTTTTAAAATTTCTACTTTTTCTGCTACAAAAAAATACCAATGATATTCTAATGCCAGGAGTTAGGTCAACTATTCTAAGAGTAAAGTACCTTCACCAGTAAAGAAATGAACAAACTATAAAAATGCAAGTTTCATACATTCTCTCAATACAACAAAATAAAAATCTGTTATTTTGAAATATAAAAAAAACCTTAGATTTGGGGAAGTCTCCTAATTGGTAAAATCAAACAATGACTGACATTGCAACTTGATTACTCTGAATATCAGGAGTAACTAGATTAAGTAAAAAAAAAATCTGGGATTAAGGAATAATTTCACTTTAAAGTCTGATTCTTATCTACATTTGAATAAACAATATAATGGGGAATTCTCATCCCAAACTAATCAACTCCAAACTTGGTGACTCCAATAATTGCTCTGATTTTCCTATATTATATTAGTTTGAGTAGCGTATTCCTTTAATTGGTTAGGTGATTTGTTTCTTCCACTAATGCAAAAAAAGTGGAGCTGTCTTTCTGGTATCTCACATTTTTCAACCTGTGTATGCTGAGGTAATACTGTTGCCTAGAGATGTAGAATCCTCTTATCAATCTGAGCTTCTGCGGTCTCTTAAGTGATGGGCTAAATTTCTAGAAGTCACAGAAAGATTCAGCAGTATTAAACTAGCACTAAATTTAGGGCTACTGCCAAATTTGATTAGTATCCTAATTACTACAAATTGTTAATATTTATTCGATAATCAGTAATTATATTATACTAACATAATTTTGTATAGTACAAATAATACAGCTCTCAAAGATTACTAATGTACTAAAGCATGTACACATTAGAAGAATTTAGAGTAAATTATGTTTATGACTAAACAAAATTGAAACACTATTAAGGACTAGTGCGCATAGAGATTTTTGCCTCAATGCATCTATATCATAGTAATAATAGTAATAATAATAACTATGGTAACAGATACCATGTATTGCACACTAACTATGTACCAGGTATGGTGCTAAATGCTTTACATACATTTTCTCAAAAGATTCTCAAAACAACATGATGACGTAGATATCATTGTTATTGTTGTTATATCTCTTTTAAAGATGAAGAAACAAAGCACAGAAAAGTTAAGTAACTTGTCCAATGAACCACAGCTATATATCAGTATGTTTGTGTTGTGCTTTGCACATTCTAGTCCCTTGAGAATTATGAAAAACACATAGCAATGTTTGTACAAGTAACTGTAAAAAGCATGGCACTAAATGGCTTCCTCCATTAATATAATATAATATAATATAATAATCTTTCTTCATGGTGGTAGACAACTTGAGAAGGGTTGGGCAGCTGCACTTCTCTGCTGGACTAAAGGAAAACTGATTCAGCTCTTTTTTTTAGCACTTTTTAAATTTGCTACTATTTTTTCTCCTTTCTCTTTCTTCCTGGCTGACAATCTTTTCCCTTTCCTATGTGATCCATTTCCCTCAGCCACTATCAAATTATACTTGTTTTTAGTATACTACAAAAGATCTTATATTCAACAAATTGGTATTGAGATTTCAAAATTGTGTGTTCTTCACACAGAGATGATACCTTCAAGGAGTTCTTCATTAGCTGTTTCACCTTTCAGAAGGATTTTCATCTTTAAGAAAAGCCCAGCAGGATTTAAATGTTCCTATTTTAAACAAATAAATCACAATGATATTAAAGTTATGCAATGTAAAAGACAATATTCAGGTAATTGCCTGTTTTATTCAACTGCTTCAGAATGACTCATGATCAAAGGAAATCAAAAGTATAAAATATCATGTGATAACATCCAGGCTATCCCTAAGAATATTTTCTGGTATTTTATTCAATCTAAATGAAATAATATGAGGAAAAGAACATGTAAACATTTCCATTAAGTGACAAAATTTAATGACAAGGTCAATACTTAAAACTGTGTGATTCTGAGGCCGTATTATTGGTAAGCAAAACCCCAAACATCAGTTAGACTTATTTTCTTTTTGAGATTTTAATAACAGCTAAGCTCCTTTGCAAACAATGATAGAGTAAATAGAAAATGAATTGTCTTTTCTATAGGATATATCTATCATGTCTACCATTAATAACAATGTGCTCTGAATGATGTTTCTAAGTCACTGTTAGCTTGCTCTAAGCCATCTGTTATCTCTTGCCCAGTTCCATTTTTGCCTGACAGGATACATCTTTGAACAGCTGGCTAAGATTAAAAATTCAGTTTAGGCCCACAAAACAGAACTTTTCTCTCTACAAAGCCAATTAGCCTCTACACAAACATTGTACTCATTAGCTCCATACTCTGCAAATAATTACAGCTATTCATGTGTGAGATGCTTTAAAAATGAAAAGTTAGAGAAAGTAAGCACTGGCATTAAAAGAGTTTACAAATATAAATGACACCAATACAAAGAATAAAAATTAAATTTGGCAATTTTAATTTATTATACTGCCACCTTTCCTACAGGCACATCAAAATATGTATTGTGTTCAATTACCTTTTATCTGCAGAGATGTATAAGTCTTCCAGATCTTGGCTGCATCTGTTTTCCCTGAGACTGCTATTCTCACACAAGTTAACATTCAGTTTTGCTTTTTGATTTCTTTACCAAACTCCAGAGAATGGTTCTCTGTATCATGTTCTTTCTATTGTATCATCATGTCTTCACTTCTATAAACATTTGCACTGTATTGTCTATCCTTACTGTCACTTGAAATTATACTTTTAGAAGGCATGAAGGATTGCTTGTTAAATCCATCAGCTTTCTCCCTATTCTCAAAATCCTGTCTTCTCTATAACTTTTCTCACTATTGTTTCTCATTCTTCTACTCTTCTTCCTTACATTTTTGTTTGCTTTTAAAAAAAAAAACAGTTATTGAGAAATAGGCTCCAGGTACAACAAACATACAAAGTAAGTGTTGTGAATCTTGTATTGCAAATGAGGAATCTGAGGCCCAGATGAGGTTAAGTAACTTACCATGGTCATACAGTTGGTAAATGATAGGGCTTAAATTTGAATTCATATCTCTTTGACTCTAAAGGACACTATAATATGCTGTCTCCCTCGAAGCTTGGTCCATCCTGGGCCTACATAATTACTACACCGTCTTGATCTCTTGCAAGCTCTAAAGATAATGTATGCATTTTTAGTGTGAAGTGTATAAAACATATATAAAACCTATGTGTATAGTTTAGAGAATAATAAAACAAACACCCATGTACTCACCATCCAGATTAAGAAACAGAACATTATCACCACATTAGAAGCCTCCAATGTGCCCTGGCCCATTTGTATCCTCCTCACTTCTCCACAGAGGTAAATACCACCCTGAATTTTGGTGGGGTTTTTTTTTGGGGGGGGTGCAGGAGTGTCTCACTATATTGCACGGGCTGGTCTTGAACTCCTGTGCTCAAGCGATCCTCCTGCATCAGCCTCCTGAGTAGGTGGGACTATAGCCATGAGTCACCACAACCACCACTCTGAATTTTGTGCAGTAATTCCCTTGCTTTTCTTCATAGATATATAATATATTGTCGCTATGCACTAAGTGTTTCTGTCCCTCCAAAATTCGTATGTTGAAGCCCTAACCAATGTGATGGTACTTGGAGGTGGGGCCTTTAGGAGGTAATTTGGTTATGAGAGTAGAGCCCTCATGAATGGGATAAGTTGCCTTGATAAGAAAAGACATGAGAGAGATGATCTTTCTCTCTCTCTGCCAAGTAAGGATACAGCAAGAAGGTGGCCATCTTCAAATCAGGAAGAGGAACCTCACCAGGAACCAAAAAGGCCAGCATCTTGATTTTGGACTTCCCAGCCCCCAGATGGTAAGAAATAAACTTCTACTGTTTAAGCCACCCAATTTATATTATTTTGTTGTGACAGCTCAAGCTAAGACAACTATTTAGTTTTGCCTATATTTGAAATTCACTTAAACAGAATCACAACATAGAGAAGTTCTTCTGTGACTTGCTTCTTTCATTGAAATCATGTTTTTCAGTTTCATCCATGTTAATATATGAAACTAATTTATTTTTTTCATTACTACATAGCATGGTTCTCAAAGAGTGGTCCTTGAACTGGTATGACCTGGGAACTTGTTAGAAATGCAAGCCCCAAACCTATTGAATGAGAAACTCTGGTAGTGCTGTCCAGCAAATTGTGTGTATGTATATGTGTGTGTATGTTTGTGTGTGTTTAAAAATATATAAAATCATTATTATTGATTTGCATTGTGAAAAATTTCCATTTCAACATAAATTCTAGTCACTGTTCAGTAAGATAATAAATGAGCAAACTGTTTTAATGGGTACACTAGGTAATACTTATACAAGCTAAAGTTTGAGAACAATGACTGTTGTAGAAATATATCACAATTTACTCATTATACTTCAGACATTTGAGTCATTTCCAACTCAATTGCTATTATGAACAATCCTGACATCAGTATTCTGTATACCTCTCCTACTAAACAGATGCTAGAGTTTCTCCAAAATATATACCTAGGAGCAAAGTTACTGGGTGATCAGTATGATCAGGTTCAACTTTATCAAGTAATGTCAAACTGTTATCCAAAGTGGTTGCACAATTCTTAAAAAACTAGGAATGAAGGGAGCTTCCTAAGCCTGATAAAAGACATCTATGAAAAACCCACAGCTAACATCATACTTAATGGTGAATTACCAAAAGCTCTACCCCTAAGACCAGAACAAGAAAAAAGAATGTCTGCTCTTGCCACTTCTATTCAACATTCTAATGGATGTTCTTGCCAGAAAAATTAGAAAACAAAAAGATATAAAAGGCATCCAGACTGGAAAGGAAGCAGTAAAACTATTTCTTTGTTTTTATTTGTTTGTTTGTTTGTTTTGGTTTCTTTAGACAGAGTCTCACTCTGTTGCCCTGAGTAGAGTGCCATGGTGTCAGCTTAGCTCACATCAACTTCAAATTCCTGGGCTCAAGTGATCCTTCTGCCTCAGCATCCCGAGTAGCTGGGACTACAGGCATGCGCCACCAGGCCCGGCTAATTTTTCTGTATATATTTTTAGTTGGCCAATTAATTTGTTTCTGTTTATAGCAGAGACGAGGTCTCGTCTTGCTCAGGCTGGTTTAGAACTCCTGACCTGGAGCAATCCACCCGCCTCGGCCTCCCAGAGTGCTAGGATTACAGGCATGAGCCACCGCGCCCGGCCTAAACTATTTCTTTTTACAGATGATATGATCTTGTATGTAGAAAATCTTAAGGAAGCCAGTAAAAATGTATGAAAGCTAAAACAAAAACAAGTTCAGGAAAGTTATAAGATCTACCACCAATATTTAAAAAATCAACTGTATTTCTATATACTAGCAATGAATCATCTAAAAGTGAAGTTAAGAAAATAATTTCACTTATAAAAACATCAAAAGAAATAAAATACATAGCAATAAATTTAACAAAAGAAAGGCAAGACTTGTTTACCGAAAACTACAAAACATTGGTAAAACAAATTAAATAAGTCCTAAAATGAATGTTCCTGGCTTTGAAAACTTAATATTGTTAAGATGGCAACAATCCCCAAATTGATCTACAGATTCAACAAACTCCCTATCAAATTCCAGCTGGCTTCTTTGCAGAAATCATCAAGCTGATCCCAAAATATGAAAATGCTAGAAATCCAGAAAAGCCAAAACAATTCTGAAAAAGAACTAAATTGGAGAGCCATACTAGCAGGTGTGAAGTGGTTTCTCATTGTGCTTTTAATTTGCATTCCCTGATAATGATGTTGAGCATCTTTTCATGAACTTATTGACTGTGGCATGTATTTTTTTGAGAAATAGCTATTAAGATTCTTTGCCCATTTTCTGCTGGGTTGTTTGTCTTCTTATTATTGAATAGTAAGAGTTTTTATTATATTCTGGATAATAGATACTCATCAGATATATGATTTGCAAATATTTTCTCCCATTCTGTTGGGAGGATCCCATGGATTCTACTTTCACTTTCCTTTTTTTTTTTCCTTTTTTTGAGATAGAGTCTCACTCTCTTGCCTGGGCTAGAGTGCCATGGAGTCAGCCTAGCTCACAGCAACCTCCAACTCCTGGGCTCAAGCGATCCTCCTGCCTCAGCCTCCCGGGTAGCTGGGACTACAAGTATGTACCATTTTGCTCAGGTAATTTTTTAAATTACCTTACCGTGCCAGGCTAATTTTTTCTATTTTTAGTTGCTTGGCTAATTTCCTTTTATTTATAGTAGAGACAGGGTCTCGCTTTTGCTCAGGCTGGTCTCGAACTCCTGAGCTCAAGCAATCCTCCCACCTCGGCCTCCCAGAGTGCTAGTATCACAGGCATGAGCCACAGCACCCAGCCTCACTTTCTTGATAGTTTCCTTTGAAACAAAAAATTTCAATTGTAATGAAGCCTAATTTTACCCACTATTTCTTTTTTGTTTTTGGTGTTGTATCTAAGTGTCCAGGTCTTTTTTTTAAAGACAGAGTCTCACTCTGTCCTCCCAGTAAAGTGCAGTGACATCATCCTAGCTCACTGCAATCTCAAACTCCTGAGCTCAAGCGATCCTCCTGCCTCAGCCTCCCAAGTAGCTGGGACTACAAGTATGTACCATTTTGCTCAGGTAATTTTTTAAATTTTTGTTTATTTTGTAGAGACAGGGTCTTGCTATGTT